TTTGATGTTCGAAAAGACGATTGTCTGATTGAGATTCAGTCTGGGGTGTCTAGCTATTTTACCAATCACTTACGCAGATTTACGAATCTGTAAAACCGATTGGTTTGCTAGCACACGAGAAATATCCGCTCAGCTGATTATTTTGAGTGACACTTTTGATAGCGTACCGAAAATAGGCATTCTGATTGTTTTGATTGATACCATTGATACCGTTTGCATGAATCTGATAATAAAAGAACTCAGAACGAGTCAAAGCTGCTTTTTCAGTCAACGCAAATACTTTATTTCCATCTAGTGCATGATCCAAGTCACCGCCATTCTGTACTGAAATTTATTCCATCGTTCAAAAATTCGCATTTGGAAATTTAATTTTACATTGGCCAACTATTTTTATCAAGCGTTTGAACCATGATTAAACATCAAGATGAATGATGATATGGACAATCCTTTGTCGAATACGCGAATATATCTTTCGCGTTTTCACATCACTTTCGTATCCGTTTTCTAGTCATTCACGATCGAAACATGTCGCCAGTGTTTCATGATGACGTCGGATGATATGGTATCGTGTAAATAAATATTACATGGGAAAGGACATGTTTCAGAGCAAAGCCGCGTTTCGGCTATTATGAGGACGAGGACTCAAGTTATGAGGACGAGGACGAGCAGCAAAGCGTAGACCTACTAGAGCCCTTTACGGGCTATCTCGAGGCAGTGGGCTCGGTGGGATGCCCCTGCAGTAGCCTGCAGCAAGTACTGGTGGCATTCGGGGTAATGCCACCAGTACTTGCCGGGAAAAAATTGCGGCGTTTATTCGCCGCATGTGCGTTTGTTTTATTACCTTGTACACAACCAAGTTGCTTTATTTTGAATTAAGCTTTGTTCAATGTCATATTGCATGTTTTTATCTTATTTTGTATGTTTTACATTCCATGTTTCCAGTAGTAATCTGTCACGCTATAGTTAGCTTTAAGCAACTTTGTTGTTTTACTGTTGTTGTTGAGCTTGAATGCGTGAAGCTTTTTGTTTTATGTTGTTTTTTGATTTTTCTGTCGTGATATTTAGGTTATCGTTTCGATTATGTCGTGTTTTAGATAGCTTTAAGCAGTTCTTGTTGTTTTCTTGTTGTTAGCAACTTAGTTGTTGCTTTGTTTGATTTCATTTGTTTCATTATCATGATCATTTTATTAGTGTCCTGTTTTATAGATAGCTCGAAGCTTTCTGTTTGAAATACTTTTTTGTTTTTTTAGCAAAATACTTGTGATGCTTTAAGTTGTTCTTTGTTCAGTTTTATTGTTCATGTTGTTGTTTTGTTTTTCTGTGTTATTGCTGTTTTTATACTTTTATTTTACTGTTATTGATAGCTTTAAGCGGTTAGTCGCAATAATGTTATTAAGACATTATTTATGCGGTACCGCAATTCTGTAGTGGTACCTTATGCATTCTTTCGAGAGAGTTATCTCTACTTAGACGACAGACAGTCCAAAATTTGACGAAAACATTGTATTCATTGCTCAAGAAAATCTTTTGATACTATCTTTGGAATAGTTACATTTTAGTGAGATATTGATGAGATTCAGTAGTGAAAGTTCTTAGTGAGTGTTACACCAGGTAATTTGGATAATTTCAGTAACTCATCATAATACCAGTGAGTTCCGAAAATTGTTTGGATTATTTCGTAACATGTCGAACGTTTTAATTATTTCGTTCGTTTTAATTATTCCATGACATATTGATAAAAAATCGAGTGTAGTGGGAACTGATTCGAATTTGTTGATTTAAAAAGTTGGTCAATACGAAAGATACCAATCGACGAGCGTAAATAATCAAAATTCCCGTCCAGTTACTGAAATTAGCTGAGTCCAATTTAATTAGTTACGGAGCAAGTTGCTATCATCTGCCTGAGTTACTCGTTATTCCCTCGTCTTAATTAACAACAATTGTGCATGTTCTTAATTAACAATGTTCAAGGCTGTGCACTGTTTTCCAGTCTTATTCGCTTCACCAATGCCACTCGTACGCATGTTTTTTAAACAACAGTCATGTTTTGATTTCATTCACTTCACTGCACCACTTTTGGACTTTGCATCAAAAATACTTATATAATATTGCGACAGTTAATAACTGCGCCGAATTTGGCACGGTTGATGGCCAATGAAACGCCATAAAAAATATCTGTTGTATTATATATTCTTCATTCGTCCGTTGTCTTGCATGATTACGTCCTTGTCTTTCTAATCCACTAATATCACTAATAAGAGCATGTTGTTTTGCATGATACTAACCCAACTAACCCGTAATTGGAGATAAGGGCCAAAATTACGGGTAGTAATATTAACGATTGTGATGAATATTGGACAGGTGAGCCATTCCATGGCTTGCTGGCCCATACATCTCCCTGAAGATGTCCAACATTTGAATATCGCATGCCTTTATCAAGCAATTTCTTCGATTGATTCACAAATATTGCAAATTTCAGTTAAAGGTAATGGATGGCTGAACATATGCAGATACATACGAAAATGTCTCGAGATTTTGATTTTGCCTTGAATACCCTTCAACATGTAGTGTTGCTTTTAGTTATTTGCTGTTTCTATTAAGTCTCAGCCCTTTTATTTTACTAACAAAAATGAATTTTCCAATTTTTGTCGCTTTTTCGAACTAACGCGCTGATTCATTCAGATCATAAATGACAGCTGCTCAATCTCGGCTACTAGATCGCATGTATCTTGTTTATGAACTTTCCTTGTTGGATCGATAACAGTTTCAATTATTATTTCCTGAACTTTTCTACTTCTTGAAACCAAATAGACAATCACGAAATCGAGTATATATTCACCGCTGTCCACTCCACACAGTGTATTCTATTCTCTTTGAGTGTCTTTGCTCTTGTGGCAATTTGATGCACAATTCATCTCTTCTCCCGCCGGCAAGCTTCGTACACAGCGTGGCAATTATTCTTCATAAAGCTTGAAAGCGGATTCAATTTTCTTCTTGTGTTTCTTTGCTTTTTTTTTCAAGCATCAGGGGGTATCTCATATTTCCCATGTTTTTTTCCATGAAGATCACACCTTGAAGTCGAATTGGTGATTACTTCGCGAGTCACGAATTTGATTTCGTGGAAGTCACCAGTCAACGCTTTCCTTCATCTGTCCTCCAGTTTTGTCGTTTTAAACAATCGGTAAATATTGCTTGCCGCAAGGTTTTGTTGTGTGGCAAGAACGAGAATCCAAATAATGATAAGCTTATGATAAGATAGATGGAAATATTGTGACTTAGGAATGAATACTGATTAGTAATTGAATACTTGAAACACTTGAATTAAATTGAATCCTTATTGAATTACTTGAATCCGTAATATTGGATTAAGGAATACTTGTCAGTAATGACATTTTTCGTAAAGATTAATAATCGAGGACAATGAGGATATCATTAACGATGGCGAGAACACACTGAAGATTACAGACATTTCTGAGTAATGAGGAAACTGTCACTGGAAATAAGTGGAAGATTTGTAAAGGATAAAGGACATGGTCAGTGTTGGTCATGGTGGTAGTAATGGTTATGAATAATGCTGAGAACCGCAGAAACTGCTCTGTGAGGGATTCGGTTGTTCATAGAGAGTTAATATATAACTGATTTAATACTGTGAAGGATGTGCTTCTCACGGGAATATCGGCTTTTTTATTTTTCTCTTTCGTTCGGCAGTTTTATTTCTCTTGGTCTCTGTCTTCACGGCTCCCGTTCTTGTCGGATTTCGAAAAATTTTATGCCGTTCTTGTAGCGTTTATATTCCTTATCGAGCGGTTGGTTCCGAATAATTATTGGTGAAGTAATTGTTAGCTAATGATTTTCTTGTCGCGAAATGTTCCGAATTGATAGTCGTTTACGAAATTGTTTATTTTTCTCAGTTTTGAGGGTAATAATACCGTCTTGTAATGTCCGGAGAAAACGATCAACAAATGGACGTTGATGATACAGCTCAGAATGTGGCCACACCAGTGTCGGCGCCAAAAGAAAAAAAGCGATTCGAGGTCTGTAATTTATCCGCTTTCGTTTTACAGTTCTTTTCATGTTTGGAAAATTCCGTGATGCAAAGAGAGAAATTAGTAACAGCGGTTTTAAAGTTCTACGAAAACTTAGTAAAAAATTTGTGAATAGGTGATTTTTGTTAAGGTGAAAAAGTGGAACGCTGTGGCGCTATGGGCATGGGATATCGTTGTCGATAATTGTGCTATATGCCGTAATCATATTATGGATCTGTGCATTGAATGTCAAGCAAATCAGGTTATTTGTTGCGCATTCGTTTACAATCGATAAAGTAGAATTGCTGGCTGGATAAATGAATTCAGTGATCGTGAGTGGTTGTTGATAAACGAAAATTTTAGGCATCGGCCACATCGGAGGAGTGTACGGTGGCATGGGGTGTGTGCAATCACGCATTTCATTTCCACTGCATATCACGCTGGTTGAAGACACGTCAAGTGTGTCCACTGGATAATCGTGAATGGGAATTCCAAAAATATGGTCACTAAATGCTCATTCCTTTCACTTGATGTCGGCACTTCAATATTTGTTTCAGTCATTATCTATTGTATCAGTTTTCATTTGGATTTCACCCTGCAAATTACAAATATTTCAAATGACTGTTGTTGAGAGTGTGGTATGTTACGAAATTTCGATTTATTCTCTCTTCTCGACTTATTATCATAAACGCGCTGATTTCGTTTACATTTGACATATGGCGTATTCGAGTGTTGATGTGGTGCGATGGTTTCATCTGTTTGAATTTAAATATTTATTTAATCCATTCGTATAGGATGGTTGCTGAATCTTTTGTGTGTCAATTCATTTATTGATTCATTTGCATTCATTGAGAAAGGTTTCGAGAGTCTTATTAAAAGTGGAGAAGTTCACAGAATGCGAGATGGTATCTGGTACTTGATGAATGTGCATCAGTGAATTACTGATCGTGAGGAAATTGAGAGGACATTTTTCTTGGGGAATGGAGAGTAAAATGTCTTGAAACGCATTAATCAAATCTGATGAATGTACAGGATTTTTATTAATTCATACTCTGAATATTATCGCAATTATTAGCGATGTCGTATCATTATAATTATTGTCATTATAAACTCGCTGTCTTAAAAGAAATATAAATAGTATATAATGTATCAATTGCTTAAAGAACGTGAAACTGAAAATGAGATGTTAATGATCGGTGTTCAGTGACGTCGTTACTAATATTTGCTTGTGAACATTTTCGTTGACTCGTTTGCTCGTCTCCGTTCTGTTCGAATACCATTGTAATTGATAATGGATGTTATTTTCCTCGTCTCAATGAAGAAATTTCATTATCGTTTTATTGAGATGAAATGATGTGTGCATCGAATTAATTAATACTGTTTATTTTGTTGATTTGTTTGTAATGCACAAGAAATGAGTGATGTTTTGAGAATGGCATTGATGTGAATAAAAACTTTTCGAAATAATTTATTCGAAGGTTTCGTTTGAATCTTGGTTTGTGGTCCGAAACGATCGTATTTCTATAGTGCTCATATGAGTAATATTCTCTTCTGCTTTCATATCTTATTTTACTGTGCCTCATTGATTGAACGCTTTTCACAAGGCATTTACAGTGGTTACATTCAAAAAAAAGGCTATGTTTTTAAAAAATGGCTTACTTTATGGGTACGTCTACGTAACTCATAGCGTATAAAATTAATTTGGATATTGCAGTGTGAGCAAGGGGTGTACATGTCATTTTTAAAAAGTTGTGCACATTGACAAGAGGATTCTGAAATGGATTGAGTTGAGGCTCGAATGATGTGTGAATTTATCCTGTAGAGAACAAAATGAATTTATTGCAGACTTGAAAGTAGCGGACATCTGTGAATCAGACTGAATTGAGCAAACAGAACGAGGGAAATGGGAACGCGGTCGAAGTATACGATACGCGATGAACGTATGATGTGGCAATATTTGTATGAGTGAGTGTGTTTGCAATGATTTTGATTATTTTTTATTTAGTTCATAGAAAATAGTAAGCGACTTTCAAGTTTGGATTAGCGACTTGAATATTTCTGAGAGCAAATTTTGATTAATGGAGCATATTAACAAGAAGTGAAAGCACTAACCGTCACGCTGGATGCGTCAGAGTTGATCTGCTGTTTTTATTATTTGTCATTGTTGTTATTCCGATCTGGTAAAGGATTCTTTGGATATGATTTTTTTGGGGTAATTATGCAGTTCACTTTATTCGCATCGTAATCGTGGACTACGATTAAGAAATGCACTGCGTGAACTGTGTAATTACCCAAAAATTTTTTGCTTAATGTTTTGATTTACCACTAGATCAAGTGAATGTGATTCCGATTTTGATAGTCATTCTTAGGATTATGAATTTTTTTGGAATGGTCACGAAGTTCAACTTGCTGATATCTTACTTATAGACTGTGGTTGAATTATTTTGATAAGTGTCATTGTTGCCTTCAACTATTGATAGCGCTTCAAGGATGACATCTGATAATCGTATTTGTTTTATTAGGCAATTGAGAGCTGGCAATGAGGCGGCTCGTGTTCCGAAAGGTAACAAAATATGGGAGAGTTTCGATTCGAATCTATTGTCTGGCTACAAATCAGCCTCATCGCTCAGTACACAGTAAATTTTTTGGTTTTGTATTTGTTCATTTGTGATTCAGCAGTCACCGTTTCAATGATATTTTGTACGTAATAGATATTGATAGCGATCTACTAGAATTATACTCTATTGTAGTGGGATATAATGATGATAGTAGCAATGTGTTTTCGATTTTATTGTACTAATGAGTAATTTTTCTGTATGAACAGGTTGTACGAAAGCTATTTCAAAGAGAAGGGTAGATTTTTTAAAATTTGCATCAAGAACGAATAGCAATCTTATCAGTCATTTGTGGTGAATTCATAAAGATCAGCGTGTGAAAAATGATTTTACAGTTTTCGGAAGAAGATGTTTCCGAATTTTGAAAACGCCGAAGTGCCTGTTGAACAGATTCTCTACATTGCTCATAAAATTGGCATAAATCTTTCAGCGAATCAAAGACGAATGTGCGTTGGTCTAAAGTTTTCGTTTTTTCTTTCATTTTTTGTTTTCCATCGTTCAATAAATGTTGTATTGTTTTCATCAAATATTCTCATGTGAACAGTTGATTTTGTGAAATTTTAAAGGAGCTGTATGAAGATTCAGTAATGATCTATGAAATGTGGAAATAATTTTTTGTTGCACTATTCACTTGACTATCAATGATGGATGGTATTTTTCAGTTTGGAACATAGATTCGAAGTGAAAATTGAGCTGGATTCGTGGAATATTGTCACTGGCTTCACCTATAAAGGTACGGCATATTTTAAGACGACGATTTCTTCGTGAGGTATTTTCAAACCGTGCAATCATGTTTGAATAGTGTTTGTGGGAAGTTGTAAGCTCTGCTTTCTTTCGTGAGATCGGCTAAGTTTCTACTTTGCTGCCTCAGTGCATCATTGTGTTGTCGAAATAATGAATGGTTATTTGAATGTGAAAATTGAATAATTTCAGACGGACGTCCAGGAGCTGAACTCGATTTGGAAGACGACGTTAATGCATGTAAGTGTTTGTTTTGGCAAATTGTGAATAAAACGCATATTTTGAAGTAGGGAAAATTTCGAAATTAGAATACAAACGTGCAGCGTTTTGATGGAAACTAAACTTGACTCGTACGAATTCTTCAAAGTCTTCCCAATTCGTGTGTTTTGCAATTGAGATCATCCCTTATAAAGAGTATTTTTCTTCCAATTTGGTGTTTGAAATAGAAAGTGAGCAAGTTTATTGAACGCTACTGAATCGATTCAGTGATATTTCAATATTCTATTGTCTTGCTGTAAATATATATTATATCTTGACGAATGAATAAATAGTTCGATGTTTTACTTATAATGTTTTGATCAGTGTATTGATGCAGTGTGTTTTGTTGACGAAAACGAATGGATAAATTTGCAGCGAGCGATAGTGAAGCGTCATTTTCATTCGATGATGGCGAAATTTTGTGTACCGTTGAGCCGACTGAAGATAAATTAAGCCCACAACAACAACAACGGCAAGAACAAAATAGACGGAGACCCATGCAGCGAGCACTTTTTCCAGGTGTGATTGATATTTGTAATGTTGCAGTTAGATGGACCACTGAAGCATCAGTTGTCGTTTAGCATCAGTTCACTGATTTTGTCATTTTTGTTACTCGAACTCTATCATTTTTGTCGTATTGTTCTTAAGTCATTATCATAACTTGGACAAATAAGCTAGCAGATCGCAAAGATTTAAGTGATTTTCTATTGTACAAATCGGAAAAAACTGTTTACTGGTAATAGATGTGTCATTTAGTGTGGAACGATCGGTAGTTATTTCAGTGATTCTTTCCGTAAGATGATCAATATTTATGGGTTGTCGTTTCATTCTGTTCCTGAATGAAAATGAAGTTGTTTTTTGTTTTTTTTGGATGAAAAAATGTGAAGTTATCGCAGATTACTGGAGAGGAATATTTCAGAATCGAATGATTCCGAATCACCGCAAGGGAAGAAAACATTAAAGCGGATAATTATCGATGATGAGATCGACTCAGATGAACAGCAGCAACAGAAGTACGTTGTTGTTAAGCTTTCTTGTTCTTTGAGATTGTAGCAGTAAATATCTTGAAGCGAATGCATTAAATTCATTGAAATCTTAACATTAGTCGGAAAATGCGGATATATCTATTTAACTTCAAAATGCGCATATCCTCTATCCTTTATAATTGTATTTATCATGAAATTCGAACATTTAACGACATTGTACACTGGAGAATAGTAAACATTTCAAGCACAGCTGTTCACGTTAATTTTTCAGTGGGAGATTGTGAGATTGAAAAAGGAGTTTGTTCACTTTTTGATTTGCAGTGGGTATGCGGCACCGCTGGTCGAACGTGACAGTGCAGTGCGAGCGATCGATGGGAACGAGCAGAGTGAAGAGGTTGATACTGGGCGTAGATTGAATAAACTTTTCAACATGATTGCAATGGACCCAAATGGAGCAGATGAACCGTCTTGCTCGCATTCGAAGCGGTCACCTATGTGAGTGTGGACAAGATTTTCATTTTTGTAGTTGGTTCCTGAGTGGATACAGTTTGGTTGTGATTGTTAAGATTCTTTGTTTGTTCCACAATTTACGAGCGGCTGGCTCTTCGTTCTTATCCTTTTTCTCCCAGCACCACTTGGGATAGTATATTCGTTATTCGGTATCATTATAAATTGAACTGTTCGCTGTTTGAAACGAATAAATAATGAATTGAAAAAGATAAACATTCAGCTTAACTTTGTGAGATATTGTTTCACCGTCAAAGTAAGTTGATTTCGGAGAAAAGCTTTCAGAAAATGCAAAAAGGTTGACGACAATAATAATCAGAGGAATGGAAGAAACGAAGGAGCGAACAGTGATCATGATATAACTGTGACACCGAAGAGAAGGAGCACTGAAAACGGTGGTTAT